GCAACCCTAGAGTTTTGGGGGGTGGACTGCTAGAATAGTATGAAAAAAAATAGAAAGGTACCATTAGAATTTCATCAAAAAAATGGGGTTATTTGGAATATTTCTAATAAGTTGTATATTATATCTTCATTCTCAAGGTGAGCAAGGGAGGGAGGTAAGGAAGGAGAGAGAGAGAGAGAGAGAGAGAGAGAGAGGAGGCTTTCTGCAATGTTTGTGAAAGGGAGAACAAAGAGGGGGAGAGAGAGAGAGAGGAGAGACTTCCTTCAAAGTTGATGGCAGGTCTTTCTTTTTTTACTTTCTTTTAAGGGAGATCACGTACTTCTTTTTTAGGACTTTAACAGTTTTTTAAAGTGGGCTGATTTAATTTTTTTTAAAAGGCGCTAGGTCTAGGCGTACACCTTGCCTTCCTAGGTGCCCACCTGAGGGGCATCTAGGGCAAAAGGCGGGCAAGTATGCATATTTCCACCTAGGATGTATGCCTAGGCCTCTTCGGTTCAGCAGCCCAGCTAGACCGCCTAGGCAACTAGGCGGCCAAATTTTTAACACTGGACATTACAGCGAGATAAAACTGCTTTATTCCTTCTTCTTTTTTCAAAGGAACAAAGCAATGACCTAAGGTATTGCCAACAAAATCATTGCAATCCTCTGATTCCAAGTTTCCAACTTCAATGAATCAAACGCTCACCAACTCAGTATCCGGTAAATGTTTTGTAAATAAAGTCATAATGTGAAGATGGTTGATAGTGAGGATATCAACGCTGACGACAGCAACAGAAAGGAGAACATGGAGCAATAGAAGCTCTATATTGCTTTGAAAACCTCCACACCAAACCATACAACCTCAAGTGCATAGACAATGAACCACACTATCAGCTCCAAGTCTCATTGTGACCTGTGTGGCACAGTGGATTAAGCCACCATTAAATAGCTTCTAGTTATTTTTTTGTTTGCGAATGAATACGTGTACTTCCCTTTTCTTTTTCTTTTCTTTTTTTTTCTGCAAGGTTACTTCCTTTTCTTCTTTTTTTCCCTGCACTAGATATAAAGAAATAGAGCACAATAATAAAGCGATTGTTTTATTTCTAATAATAAAAAACTGGATTATTCACCAGCGTAATTAGCTCAGGTACCGTAAAATTCAAACTTGTAGCTGGAAAAAGGTACATTTTCACAAATTGAAGTGCTTATTTTGTGAAATACCATGAACAAGAGTTCGGCATTGTCTAATTGAGGTTTTGAAGTAAAATGGAGTGAAAAGGGAACTTACAGCGCCTGGCCCTTCAGTTGAGGGGCCACCAATAAAGGCCATTATCCTTGCACTAGAGCCAGGCACACAAGCACCCAACAAACCAGCAGCCACACTTAAAGCAGTGCCAGTGCACCTCGCTGCCCTCTCCTCTGCAGGAACACCCCATAGATCCTTCTCCAACTCCTCCAAAACCTAAACCAAATGTTAAATAAGGTCAATTTCACTGCCAAAATAAAGCAAAGTTACATTTGTTCTTTATATGAATCGAAATACGTACCAATACCAATATTTAATCACAAGGTCTTAGCATGATACCGTAAAATCACAAACTCATGCACAAAATGAACAATTTTAGTCAGATATGGAAATCATAAGTACCATGCGGGAGCACGAGAAAAAACAGAAAGTAAACTAAATAAATTCAACTACCAAGTTTTTTTTTTTTGCTGCAAAATTACTTCACCAATCAAACAAAAGAAAAACATCAATTTAGGATCTAAATCAACCATGAAGAGACTAAAATCATTAAATTACAAATACCGCTTTATAGAGATTAATCAAACTACAGGAAATCAGGAATTCAAAAACAAAAATTTGAAGCTGGCAGCTCAAACAATCAAAACAATATGAAAAGTCGAAATCAAAAATCAAATCAACATCAAACAATAAAGTATACCGTATTTATTGCAAATTCGCAATCTGAAGCAGGTACAAGAAACCTTTGAATCATCTGAGGAGAAACACCATCTCTAACCCCACCGATTACCCCCCCAATTGGTTTTGGCTTCTGCACAAAAAACCCCAATTGCTCCATGACAATCTCCTTTGTAGCCCCCTTCGATCCCCTAAACACATAGGACTTGGGCATATGCCCAAAACCTAATTCATGGACGTTAACATAAGATCCAAAGGTGACAAGACCAACCATGGAGTTTTCAGGCAAAAGCCCAACTGCCTGGGACAAAGCAGACTTCAAATAACCTAATTCTTCCTCAATCACACATATATCGATCAGAAAAAGGAAAACAGGAGGTATGGCTCCAACTCCAGGGTCTAGGGTTTCATACTCCACTGTTGTGTACTGAGGAAAAAGCTCAGCTGGTAAGTTAGTATCAGTAATGGAGGCATAATGAGGAGGAAAGTGGTTTCTTTGGTAACAGAAGGGGCATGCCCAGATCTTGGCCTGAAAATCAACTATGGCAAAAGGGTTTAGAATCGATCTGCAAGTCCTGCAACGTAAAGGCTGATAAGGGAGAAGAGGGAGATTAGGGTTAGGGTTTAGTGGGGTGTAAATTGCAGATGTGGGAATTACACAGGCTGAGGCCTCTGGTTTGGTGCCAGGCCAGACATTCCATGGCATTCTGATGCCATCTTGTGCTTCGAGTTCGAGGAAATCCGCCATAAATGGAGGGTTTCGAAGTTTTCCTTTTTGTGATTCTGGTTGCTGGTTCGAGGAGAGAGAGGGTTTCGATGGAGAAGAAGAAATGAAGAAAGAGGTTTTCAGGGGAGGAGAGAGAGAGGAGAGAGGTTCTGGTCGGGAGTGTTCATTGCACTCCTCTCCAACAGTAACTTACCCCCCTTGAGTAATATTTTTTCCGAAAACGGGAGGTTTCTCTCTCTAGCTCCTTTGTTTCTCTCTGGCTCCTCTCTTTCTCTCTCCTCTGTTTCTCTCTCTTGCCCTCGTGGAATGTCCCTCGGGCACGAAGCTGAACACTGTCAACAGGAAGCGGCTGACGCCCGATATAACGGTACGAGACAAACATGACCGGTGAGGTTTGTATAACGTGCACCCCAAAATCGTATTTTAGGCGTCGAAACTTTTATAATCGCCCGAAAATATATTTTTTACCTCTATTATAAAATTGGAAGCTCCCATCTCCAAATATATTTCATGACTAGTAAATCTATAAACACTTAAATATTTTGATAAAGGACGGTTTAGATAATGTAGTACAAGATGTACTAATATTAATATTTTAAATTCAATTTTTTTTTCAAATTTATATATATCGAAGTGGAGATTATCAATTAGAGCATTTTTTAATGATGAAACAACATTTTCCAATGAGTTTTGAGATGCAACTTACTTGTACAATATAAGGCTGACACCTTATACAAACTTTTTCGTATGTCAAATGAATTGCTATTTAAAAGGGGAAAAGTATAAATAGAGCCGAGGCTCTAAAAAATCAAATTAGAGCCTACCTCAAAAAATTCACTAGAAGAGGTTGTTTTGATGTCCAAATATCCTCAAATTGATCATCTCGATATCAAAATGCATGGACATGAAAAAAAAATGGATTTCAAGTTTTGGAAATAGAGTATTTTGTAATGCATTTTTTGACCGTCAATTTTCAAGATTTTAAAGGTTTCATAGATCTGTCAATCTAAACTTTTTTTAAGCTTTAAATTTTATAAATAAATATGAAAATATATTTTAAAGCTTCAATATTAAAACTTTATTTCTCGACTCTATTTGAAGGTATGCTCTAATTTAGATGTTTAGAGCCTAGGCTCTATACAAACCGCACCCATTTAAAAGCTCTTCTTTCTTTTACATTATTACACTCATATCCAAAGCTCGTTTTATTTTTAAAAAAAACGTTGCATAAGTGCAAGGCTCTAAACAATCAAATTAAAGTGTATATTAAAAATTTGATTAGAAGATGTTGTTTTGATGCTTAAAAATCTTCAAATTGACCATCTCGACCTTAAAATGCATAGATATGAGAAAAATAGATTTCAAATTTTGGAAATAGTGTATCTTATAATGAATTTTTAGACAATAAATTTGCAAGATTTTAAAGTTTTCATAGATTTGCTCGATCCACACTACTTTTGAAGTTTTAAATTTTATAATTAGAGGTGAAAATAAATTTTCAGACTATCACAAATTTCCAGTATGGAAACAACAATCTTCGACACTCTTTGATCCGTCTTACGATTGTTTAGAGCCTTATAGCCTTAGCCTCGTACAAACCGCACCTTTTTAAAATGATGAAAACATAGATACTTCCTCTCTCTTATGCTGTTACAGTCGTACGCAATTTGATCGGCGTTTTTTTTAAAATAATGAAAATGTACGTACTTTTAATAAGTTTATCAAAATCCTTGTGTGTTTGAAGCCGAAAAATACTATTGAACTTTAAAGGAGGGCAGGAAACTTAAGATCTTGAAGATTCGAAATTTAACCAATCAAAAGTACCAATAATTTTTTTTGCTTCTTTTGTCAAGTAAAAACTTTAAATTTTCCAAAATTTGAGTTTTTATGCTAAAGATAAATGAAAAAACGACTTTGAAGTTTCAAAATCTGAGGTTTTTCTCTTGCTACATAGAAAATTCCGTTGGCAACTATGAATTTTTATAAATACGAAATTTGACATACCATATTTTTCATTTTTGCTTTTTTTTGTCAATTATAAACTTCATATTTTTAGAATATCAACATAGGTGTATTTTTTGACCCACAACCTATGGAGATGTATCCTCTTCCATCTAACAACCAATATCAAAATCTGAAGTTTTTTAGAGTCTTTAGATTTTGTAAAGTAAAAAACTTCAAATTTTGAGAATCTCAACATAGGTGTACTTTTTGGACCACAACATATGGAGATGTATCATCTTCAATCTGGCAACCAATTTCGACATGAATTTTCCAAATTTGAGTTTTTATGTTGAAGAAAAATATAAAAACAACTTTGAATTTTCAAAATCCAAAGTTTTTTTCTTGCCACATAGAAAATTCCATTAGCAACTACGAATTTTACAAATACAAAGTTTGACAAACCATTTTTAGTTTTTTTTTTTTGTATTTTTTGTCAAGTAAAAACTTCATTTACACACATTCAAGCTAACGAGGATCTATATCTACAGTACACCTAAAGCACAAACTCCCCTAGGAGCTCACGCTCACTAAACTATCGTTTTATCGCTGCGAAGGTTTGTAATAGGGTTCGGGCAAAAAGTATGGTGTTAGTGGTCTTGCAGGTTTACGAATTTATGGTGAGCCTGCATGTATTTTGTGAAGATTTGTTTTTGACAATTTATTTTATGTTTAATTTTTTTTTTTTAAAAAAAAATCACTCTTCATTGCTGGCTCTTGCATTGTCAGTATCATGATTTAAGAGAATAATCTATAGCCTAAGGTGTACCTAAACCTATATTTATTTGCAAGGTTAAAGGAAGCCGGGCATCCGGGAACCGAATTTTCGGTGCTAGTGAGGGCCTCATTATTTGTGTCCCGCTAGTTTCCGTAATCACCACTAAAATTTTTTGGAACTTTGTGGCACATCCAAGCTATTAGATTTCACCTCATATGTTATGAGTAATTGTGACCTAAAGATACCAAAGATAAATGGTCTCACTGTATATAATACTTTTCAGAAATATATTTAAGATCTCATTTTCATTTTGGATACTTAGGTTTATATTGTCTACGTCATAAAATGGACAAGATTTCTATTAGTCCATGTAGAAATGAGTCCCCGATTAAAAACTCATTTTTGGGATGGATTTTGGACCCAATTTTTAAGGATATATGATCTCAGACATGGAGATCAACGAGTAGGAAAAAATAAATAAATTTTAAAATAATAATTTTATGAAGGAACCATTTGGATTGTTAGTTTCAACGGCTTTTAGATGAAACACCCATTTGCGTCCATATCTAAGATGGATGTTTTATGTCTCAAGGCGCAAATGTAAGAATGTGTTCCCCCATCTGTTTTATGCCTTGGGCGCAATGTAAGAATGTGTCCTCCCAATTCATGAAACAATTTTCTCAACAATAAATTTTTTTTAAAAAAACTATAAGTATAATATTCATTAGATAGTGGAGCAAAGCTCCTAAATACAAAAGTACAATACGAAGAAATAGGGAGGAGCACTCCCTGGATCCAAGACGGACCAAACCTAACTCCTAAAACACACCTATCCCATATCAGATTTATAGGCACCAACTGATCCAAACAAAACTCACAAAAACCTCATATTCTTGAAACAAAACTTCCAAGCTCCAACTTCCAACATTTTCTAAACAATATCCTAACTTGTTCTTTGTTTGAGGGAGCAAATAAGTAGTTTGCTTTCATAATAACACATTGCCAATATACAAAGCTTCTTATGTTTATGCTTACCAATACGTTTGTCATATTTTTTAGTACAAGATAACGTATATTCGAGAAAATTTAGATATAGCACCAATAAGTGATAAGATGAAGGAGAGAATAGACTTAGATGAACTAGCTATATGTGCTGCAGACCCAATATAACACAGGTTGAAGGTACGAGTTAGTTCAAGTGGAAGGCTCAAAAAATATAAACAGTTTACCCAAAATAACGTGGTTGGAAATAATGATTAAAAAATATAGGAACTTAGAACCTCATTAAAGGTATGGCCATACCCTTAATAGAGCAAAATAGCGGACTAAGATTTATGTAACGGATCCCAATTAGTTGGGAAAAGGCTTTGGGGATAATAATCATATTATATTAAAATATTGAATATATATATATATATATATATAATAATGATCCTATGAGACCTTCTCATACCCTTATGTGTAGAACCTTCATATTCTTGAAACAAAACTTCCAAGCTCCAACTTCCAACATTTTCTAAACAATATCCTAACTTGTTCTTTGTTTGAGGGAGCAAATAAGTAGTTTGCTTTCATAATAACACATTGCCAATATACAAAGCTTCTTTATGTTTATGCTTATCAATACGTTTGTCATCTTTTTTAGTACAAGATAACGTATATTCGAGAAAATTTAGATATAGCACCAATAAGTGATAAGATGAAAGAGAAAATAGACTTAGATGAACTAGCTATATGTGCTGCAAACCCAATATAACACAGGTTGAAGGTACGAGTTAGTTCAAGTGGAAGGCTCAAAAAATATAAAGAGTTTACCCAAAATAACACGGTTGGAAATAATGATTAAAAAATATAGGAACTTAGAACCTCATTAAGGGTATGACCATACCCTTAATAGAGCAAAATAGCGGACTAAGATTTATGTAACCGATCCCAATTAGTTGGGAAAAGGCTTTGGGGATAATAATCATATTATATTAAAATATTGAATATATATATATATATATATATATAGTAATGATCCTATGAGACCTTCTCATACCTATATGTGTAGAACCCCAAAAGATCACCATTAAATTTTGCACAATTCTCTAAAAAAATTATCACATGAGTACATAGGTATGATACTTGACTTTTTAGAAACCTGTGCCAAATTTAATGGTGATTCTTTGGAATCCTATACACATGGGTGTGAGAGGGTCTCATATGATCATTATTTTATA